TGAGTCCAGAACCTCTAGTATCCCCATATTGATAAATTCAACTCAAGTGAAAATAAATGTATATTCCTACCTTCCTGGTCCAACATCTTTGGAATACACTCTACACATTTTCCTCTTGTTTCTGCTGATACAAATTAGCAAAGTCCTACAACTCTTCTGTAAGTCTTCTCTCAGATCAGACTTTGGGTTTGCCTTCCAGAAGCATACTGGGATCTGACTCTAGTTAGAGCTGGTAGCAAGGAGCGGTAGGGGGTGGGACATAAGTAGTATTAGTATTCCCTTTTAGGACAACTACCCCAAGATCTTCAAGCGGCAGAACCAGCCATATGTATGAGGGGAAGAAGGGCTGCTTCTGCTGCTTAAGAGAAGTGGAGTCTGTGAGTTGACAGCACTCGAATTTATCCAAATCCACTCAAGGGTCCCCATTGCTCATTTCAGGGCCCCACTTTCACATAAGAGGCCTGGTAAAGCTACGAATTCAACTTATGTTGTATGTAATTCAGTGATCCAGAATCTCCCTTTGATTTTGATGTGCATGAGCCTTGCAGCTACAAAAGATAAAATTCTTTTGGGTCTCTCCCATACTATGCCTTGAGCTGAAAATGTCAAACTTTTGAGCTTTTCATCTTTTTCCTCTAACCCCTCTAGTGTAGTCACCATCATTTGTCCCCATTTCTTACATGATGATCTATTATGGCAGCCCTTTGAGATGCCAATGTCTTTTCTTCAAAAGACATTTCATTTCAGGTGACCACAGGTGTAAGCAATTTGCCTACCAGTTTATCATTTTCCAGTGGCGACTAGATCTACATTTCCTTCAAATGCAGCTTAGTCATAACTATTCTAAGAGGCCCATCTTTGAGGTCCTGTTGCTAGTAACCACTTTTGGAACCAAATATATTAGCCAGGATTCAGTAACTGCAGAAAACAATACCCCTTTACCAATTTTAAGTAGAAAAGGATTCAATACAGGTCAATTAGGTGCTTACAAAAGCGTTGGAAAGCCTGGGGAACATGGCCTCCAGGAGATTCCCAGACCCGGAATTAGCCTTCCATGTGAGCTGCTACCTCTGCCACCAAAGGGGAGATGAGGAATTAGGAGGCCACTACAGGTTGACTACAAGAAAACATCACAAACTGCTATCTATGCATCCAGACACCCTTCAACACCCACAAAGCTACTGATGGATATTAGAATGCAGTTAAAGAGAAACCTACATCTTGCAGGAGCAATAGCCAAAGTAGCTAAATATAACCCCTGAATCACTCCTTCTTCCACATCTTGTTTGTGCATCTAATTGGCAAAACTCAACCTTAGGTTACCTTCAGAACCTTGGTTTCAAGGAAATCTAAGACATGAAGGTTTCAGTTTTCCAGCCTCTGCAGCATAAGAAAGTACCTTAGGTGAAAATAAATAAGTATTCATTTACCATATCCACAAGCTTCTTCACATTGGCCTGTCCAAGTAGTACTAGTGATCAGACATGCCCCCTCCCAGTTTCAGCCCCTTTGAAAGCTGGCTGCAAGCACTGCATCTGTCTGGCGTTGAAGACTACCTCTTCCTGGCCCAGAGAAATCTAAAATTTCCTTGTCTTCAGAGTTGTTTGGCTAATCTACACAATCTTGCCCCAGCCACATCTTTGACCTAATCCACTCCTCTCCCCATCTTGGTCCACTTTGTTCCAGCCATATAGGCCTCTATACTGTGCTTTTTTGGAAACAGACAAAGGATGCTCTACCAAAGGGCCTTTGTACTTTATTCCTCATGTCTGGTATGTGCTTCCCCTAGATATTCACATAGTTGTATCTTCCTTGCTCCATTAAAGGCTCTAATAATAACGGAACCTTATCAAGGAGGCCCAACCTGGTCATGTCAAGTAGCACTATCTACCACTCTGTCTTCCGTTTTTCTTCAGAGTACTTATCCTCAATCCAGATTATATATCTGATTGCTTTCCCCCACTAGAGTCTAAGTTCCATGGGGACAGGAACTTGGAATTTTAGTCATTGCTACATCTTATACCTGAAATGCCGTAGGTATTTCAGAATGAATGCAGGCTGTATGAAGAGGAAATTAAACTTTCCCCATTTTGTAAGCTACTATAACTTTTCTAATGCATTACTTGTGTTCGCCTCTAGGTGGTGATGATGGGCCTTTTCTTCTACTAATGTGTTGCTAAGGATTAGAATGAATTTAAATGTTTTATAGCCTCTGGCCTAGAGGTCTAGGCTTCCTTTCTTATTTGATATCTAAAATCTCCTTTAACTCATTTCTTCTTATTCCTGCAGGAGGAAAAAACATGGGCCTTTACCAAAACATTTTCAGTATACCATCTCAGTCTTCACAACCCCATAACTAGGATCATCACCTCCATTTTGGCTAATTGAAAACAGACTGAGAGTAAACTGCCCAAATCTCACAGCCGTAGTAAGTGGAACCCAGATAAGAAATACAGGTTTGGCCATAAACTACTGCCCCTCCAACAGACTTCTTTGATTTATCAAAGAAGTGAATTGTTCTCTTGAGGCTTCAAGAGAATTCCAAGTTTTGAGTTGATAATTTGCGTTTCAGAGATCTCCAGGCTGTCTGCCTCTTTTTCCAACAAGTTCTCTTTTTCACACAAGTACACGCCCCCTTCAGGGAACATTCTTCCAGAAATCCAAAGTCCACTAACAGCATTTCCTGTCCTAGGTGCAGGGAAACGTGTGAAGTCTGGCTGCAGTGCCCAAGAGATAAGAATCTTCCAAGCTGGCTGTTGTCCAGACTTGCCCTCCTCATTGTAGTAAAACACTGGCCAGGAAGACAAAAGTGCATCTGTGAAAGGAAACAGAAAGCCATCTGGTCCTCAGGGAAAGGAGGGTTTCAATTTTTCCTCTGGGCCCAGGGCTAAGGTGATAGAGGTCTGACACTGGAAGCTCTTTAAATGCAATCTGAGGGCTGGGTGAGGTGGCTCATGCCTGTAACCCCAGCACTTTAGGAGGCCGAGGGCAGGGGAATCACTTGAGGTCAGGAGTTCCAGACCAGCCTGGCTAAAATGGCAAAACCCCGTATCTACTAAAAATACAAAAATTAGCCGGGCGTGGTGGCACGCACTGGTAATCCCAGCTACTCGGGAGTCTGAGACTTGAGAATCACTTGAACCCAGGAGGCAGAGGTTGCAGTGTGCCAAAATCATGCCACTGCACTCCACCCTGGGGGACAGGGCCAGACTCCGTCTCTAAATACATAAATAAGATCTAAAAGTTGGGGAAGTTAGGGGCATGAAACGGACTCATATAGTCAAAGTAAGTCACTGCAAGATTTGGAATCTGACATCAGGTTTCACGAGTCTTCTAATTTTCTTGCTATAGTGTATATAAGCTTTAATTTCTAAGGACATTATTTTATTTTTTCAGATGGAGTCTCACTCTGTCGCCCAGGCTGGAGTGCAATGGTGCGATCTTGGCTCACTGCAACCTCTGCTTCCTGAGTTCAAGTGATTCTCCTGCCTCAGCCTCCTGAGTAGCTGGACTACAGGCACCTGCCACCATGCCCAGCTTATTTTTGTATTTTTAGTGGAGATAGGGTTTCACCATGTTGGCCAGGATGGTCTTGATCTCCTGACCTTGTGATTCACCCGCCTCAGCCTCCCAAAGTGCTGGGATTGCCCGCATGAGCCACTGCTCCTGGCTCATTATTTTTGTATTTTATTTTATTTTTGAGATGGAGTCTCCCTCTGCCGCCCAGGCTGCAGTGCAGTAGGTGATCTCAGCTCACTGCAACCAGCACCTCCCAGGTTCAAGCGATTTTCCTGCCTCAGCCTCCCGAGTGGCTGGAGTTACAGACACATGCCACCAGGCCTGGCTAACTTTTGTATTTTTAGTAGAAATGGGGGTTTCACCATGTTGACCAGGCTGGTCTCGAACTCCTGACCTCAAGTAATCTGCTTGCCTCGGCCTCCCAAAGTGCTGGGATTACAGGCGTGAGCCACTGTGCTTGGCCAGGACATTATTTTATACAGAGCCAAAACTCCTCGTAGTACAAACTTAGCTCAATTTTGACAAATTTGTAAGATCAGATAAATATGTTTAGAGATTTTGAGGGCATATCCCCTCCTTTCATTACAAATTTCACATTCCTTAGTCCCTTTTATTTAAACCAGATTAGAAAACCTGAGAAAGGTTTTTAGAACATGGAGTGGTATACCTGAGAGCACAGCAAACACCTATGTCATTGCTTTGTGATTATGTGCATCAGTATATTTCTTCCTCCAATAACAGAATATTCTGTTCTCCAACTTGTAACCATGCAACATTCACTGAGAACTCTTTTTTTATGAGACAGGGTCTCCGTGTCACCCAGTCTGGAGTTGCAGGGATCTCAGCTCCCTGCAACCTCTGCCTCCCCAGGCTCAAGCAATTCTCCTGCCACAGCCTCCTGAGTAGCTGGGATTACAGGCGTGCACAATGACTGCCTGGCTAATTTTTGTACTTTTAGCAGAGGCGTGGTTTCACCATGTTGGCCAGGCAGGTTTCAAACACCTGACCTCAAATGATCCACCTGCCTTGGCCTCCCACAGTGCTCGGATTATAGGCGTGAGCCACCGTGCCTGGCCACTGAGAATTCTCTTAAGAGCTACCTGGACTGCCACTCCTTCCCCCCTCTGAAGCATATGACTAATAGTGACTATAATGAAGAAAAGGGTAGATAAAGCTTTAAGAGTAAATTGCACAGTTGCCTCTAGAGGGCAAACAAGGTTAGTTTTAATCTACTGCTTCCCTATTCAGCTGACTCGGCTAATAATTCTTCAGTCTGACTACAAAGTCCAAAACAAGCCTAGCTTTGCTTCCTGTCATGCTAGGAGTCAGGTTTATAGATGACTACTGTGGTTGGATTTGAATACAATCCTTCTTCCCTGGGATTAGAAAAATTCAGGTCTAGAGACTGTCAAAGATGGTGCTCTGTTTCAATCAAACACTTGGCTCTGTGGGACTATCCAAGCCAAGGAAAATGAGTTAAGTTGAATTATGACAGAAATCTTTATTAAAATGTGTCTTTCAGTAATATGTTTAGCATTCAATATACACACATACATATGTACACTCTTTGACACACCTCACGGATTGCTGCCATCAGTTTAACCAATAAATTAAAACTAAAAAGAGGGAGGGGAGGGGAGGGGGACTAACGCCAAACTTTTCATGTTTTAACTGGTAAGAAATTGTGAATTTCTCAGAATTTCCCTGGGTGAAAACCTGTGACCAGAGAATCTTTGAAATTAAATACATAAATCCCTACCCCTTGCAAAAAATAAAATAAAATAAAAAATAAAAAAAAAAAAATCCAAAAGATGCAGTTACAAGTGTGCTTCTCAGAACAGGAGCATACATTCCACTTCATACTCTGGCTTCTCCACCTTCTGGCTTCAAGACAGTTTGTCCCTCGGCTAGGGCAGAGAGGTTCATATGGGCACTTGGGCTTGGTGCACCTTGGGCTCTGGGGGTTGAGGGGCAGGCTGCAGTATGGGAGCGGGGGGAGCCACACTCATCTGAGGTGATGTCTGGCACATCGTCTGACTGTGTATCAGAGCTCTCTAGGTCACTGCGGATGCTTTCAGGCTGGGCCAGGCTGATGTCCCAAGGTTTGCTGGCCAGGCAGTCTTTCTGTTCACAGCTTTGGTGTCTGCAGGGGGGATCCTCTTCACTGCCTCCGCCACCACTACCTTCTTCTTCATTCTCTGCCATCTGAGCATGAACATGGAGCGAGTCCTCTGTGCTGCTTCCACTCACCAGCTGATAGTGGCTTGGTTTGGCTTCAATGTCCACTTGGATTTCCATATTGTTGCATTCTCTGTGGAGACAAAATCCACTTTGCTGAGTCATGCATGGGTCATGCTAAACCTGTTGGTAAAAGCAGTTTGTGGGTTCAGGATTAGGAATTTCAAAAAGATAGGTAAACAGTGAGCTAGAGCTCACTTTTAACAAAAATAACATTTTAATCTAACACTCAAATGAAATGGAGGCTGGATGCGGTGGCTCATGCCTATAACCCCAGTGCTTTGGGAGGTCGAGGTGGGAGGATCGCCTGAGTCCAGGAGTTTGAGACCAGCTGGGGCAACAAAGTCAGACCCTGTTTCTAAAATGAAAAAACATTAACTGGGCATGGAGGCACATCCTGTAGTCCCAGCTACTTGGGAGGCTGAGTGGGAAGATCACTTGAGCCCAGGAGTTCAAGGCTGCAGTGAGCTATGATTGTGCCACTATACTCCAGCCTGGTTGACAGAGCAAGACCCTGTCTCTAAAAAAATAAAAATAAAAATAAATTACATGGAGAAGAGGAATTAGGTCCTTTTTGCTGATTTAACTATATATGCACACGTGTACTCAGATGCACACATACATATATCTCAGCCAATCTCTTTTAACATATAGAAAGAGCTGCCAAAATTCAACTAAGGGTCAGAGCCCCACGCTGGCTTACTCAAAATAGAAAAGTAAAAGTTTTTTACTACCATGCCACAAGTAGAAGAAGCCAGAATACCTACCAGTGGGAGTACCACAATCACACCATCCCAGATACACTAGTTTCTCAAAATGAAAGAGAAAGAAGCTATGGGAACCCTATCAAGCAAAGGGCAAGCAGAAACCCTAGACTCGAAGACATCAATGAACCCCAATCTAGCTCTTTAAGTTCCATGTAATTATACACTGTTGCAATAGCCAAAAACGACAAAAAAAAAAAAAAAAAAAAGAATGAAAAAAATATATAAAAGGAAGAAAGAAATCTCTAAAAATCAAGTACTAACAAGAAGGATCAAGAGATGCCAAACACTCTAGTACCAAGAACTTGCTCAAATGAATTCACAGGTTACACTATATATCCCACGATATGGTACACAGAACTCTAACATGAGGCATTGAACTTCTAAAGACCTAGTACCCAACCAAAAAATGCAACCTCTCCTGGACATCTGACTGTTCACATACCTGTCCTGTGGATTGTAGGAACTGATTATGGAACCGGCCATAGCACGAGTGCTTGCGTTGTCACTAATTGCACCAAGACTGGCTGTGTCTTTGGGGAAAATTTCCTTTTGGACATCGGCTTGAACTTCTAACCTGTGTAAAGACGGGACGTTCAAGTTAATATGAGACCTGAGTATTCCAAGACAGTCTGCTTCCTGGCACACATCTCTTCCATTACTCTCTTGCAAACTCTGGTTGTCTGATCTCCAATTGTCAAACAGCGCAAATAGATGCCCATACATTTTTTCTCTTAAATATCTATTGAAATCGTCCCCTCCTTTCTATCCCCACAGCTACTGCTTAACTTCAGGTTTTCATCATCTCCTGCCTGGATGACTACAATTGGGCTCCCTCTCCAGTAACCCTTAAGTCCAAGTCAAACAACCTCTAGAACAGTGCCAGTGTGAATAAAGAACCAATCACTCTAACAATTCTCTAACTCTTGGCTCCCTACTGCCAACAGGCATTTAAGATCTTCCTGATCTGCCAGGAAGCTCTCTGTCCAGTTCTATTACTCCCTATAGATCCGAAATCATAGTCACTCTGAATTTTTTCTTTCTTTAAATACCTATACATTTTATACTTCCATGACTTTGCACACACTATTCCGTCTCTCTAGACATTTCCTTTCTCTACCAGACAAACTTATACTCAGTCCTTAACAACAAAGAAAACATCACTTCCCCTTTCATCCCAGCAAACCATTCACTTCTTGCCAAGTACTCCCACAGCACCTGCCTACTTACTATTTTTTTTAGAGGGAATCTCACTCTGTCACCCAGGCTGGAGTGCAGTGGCACGACCTCGGCTCACTGCAACCTCTGCCTCCCAGGTTCAACCGATTCTCCTGCCTCAGCCTCCCAAGTAGCTGGGATTACAGGTTCCCACCACCACACCCAGCTAATTTTTGTATTTTTAGTAGAGATGGGGTTTTACCATGTTGGCCGGGCTGGTCTTGAACTCCTAACCTCAGGTGATCGCCCACCTAAAAAAGGTGCTGGGATTACAGGCATGAGCAGGCCCTGCCTACTCATTATTATGCATCTCTCACTCCTCTGTTAACTCCACAAAAGGAGAAACCACAACTCATTCATACTTTACCTTCCCTGCCTTGCACATAATAGCAAATCAAACATTTAACAATCAAATTACCGCCAGGGAATGAGACTGAAGGACACATAGGAGCCAACCTCTTCCCTCCTCTTGGAGCAGCAAACTTTCCCAGTAGTATCTCAGAGCCCATAACTATTTCCTTTCTTGGCTCCAACACCACTTTGTTGCACACTTAAGTATTTCCTCATAATGGGTTTCACAGTCAAACCCATCTGACTCATTCATTTCCTATAAAATAAAGGCTTTCACAGAACTAGAACAGCTGGACTGGCTAAGCTGCAGTTTCAGCAAGTCAGTCTCCAATTATGTCTGTCTGCTTATTTACAGGGGTGTTGGTTTTAAGAAAGCACAGCAGTGAATACGCCAGCATGTGGGGGCGGGATCCCCTGACAAGAGACAACCAGAGTCATGAGATGCACAGACGGGTCAGTAGCAGCCTGCAGCTGCACATTCAAGCAGCTTCCATCCTACTGCCTGAGCCTTTGCTCTGCTGCTCCAGCCTCAGGTGCCCTTCAAAAATGTGCCAAGGCCCAGGGAAATGAGGGAATGCATGGAAAGTGCATAGTGTCAGAGACCTGGGGTCTAGTTTCAGGTCTGCCACAGAATCACTCTGAGTTGGAAGAGTCTTTCAGAAAGGCCTCCTACTTACATGGTTCTCAGATGCTGGTTCATGCAACGGCTGTGCTAGAATTACCTGGGGAGCTTTTTCAAAACACAGATCACCCTCTAGGTGCCACTCCAGGAAATTCTAAGTTATTAATTCTGGGATGGGGCCCTGAAGTCTATTTTTAAGAGGCTCCCAGGTGACTGACAGGCACTCAGGTGTGAGATCCAGTCCACCTGCCATCTGTTGCTTGAATCCTTCTTATAGCCAAATGGCCATCTGGTCTCACTGTAAACACTTCCAGGGATAGGCAGCTCAGTATCTACTAAGGTAGCCTTTTTCCTCTTTGGGCTTTCTTTTTTTTTTTTTTTTTTTTTTTGAGACGGAGTCTCGCTCTGTCGCCCAGGTTGGAGTGCAGTGGCCGGATCTCAGCTCACTGCAAGCTCCGCTTCCCGGGTTTACGCCATTCTCCTGCCTCAGCCTCCCGAGTAGCTGGGACTACAGGCGCCCGCCACCTCGCCCGGCTATTTTTTTGTATTTTTTAGTAGAGACGGGGTTTCACCGTGTTAGCCAGGATGGTCTCGATCTCCTGACCTTGTGATCCGCCCGTCTCGGCCTCCCAAAGTGCTGGGATTACAGGCTTGAGCCACCGCGCCCGGCACTCTTTGGGCTTTCATGTTGCTTTTCCCTATATTCATTATACTGAACAAAAATTAGTTTCCCTTTAGCTTCTGTCAAGTCATAAATATACATGACTATAATCTACCTTTTGGTATGAGGCATAGAAGTCTAATCCTTTTCACAGTTGAAGGTCCTTCAGATAGCTGAAGGCAACCATCTCCCTCTTCCTATCCTGCTTTGTTCTACCTTTACCCCCACCAGGCCTTTCTTCTCCATTGCATTCAACTAACTGCTTCTCAGGCAACATGTTATACTCCTCTGAAAATATATACTCTGGTCTGCCTAACTAGTGAAATAACCAAGCAAGTCACAACCTTTTTAGTTACAAAGCTTTACATATTTTCAACACAAGTACATAGAATTGATTTCCCTTACCTAGCAAATGGAAACAGAAAGGTAATAAGGATTGCAATATCAATAAACCAGCTGGGCGCAATGGTTCATGCCTATAATCCTAGCACTTTGGGAAGCCGAGTTGGGAGGATGGCTTGAGGCCAGGAGTTCAAGACCAGCCTGGGCAACAGAGCAAGACCCCATCTCCACAAAAAATTTAAAACATTAGCTGGGTGTGCTGTGTGCACTTGTAGTCCTAGCTACTCAGGAGGCTGAGGTGGTAGGATTGTTTGAGTCCAGAAGGTTGAGGCTGCAGTGAGCCATGATTGTGCCACTGCACTCCAGCCTGGATTACAGAGTGAGAAAAAAAACAAAAAAATACCCCCAAAGCCCACTATCAATAAACCACGATGGGCTGGGCACACTGGCTCACGCTTGTAATCCAAGTACTCTGGGAGGCTGAGACAGGTGGATCACAAGGTCAGGAGCTTGAGACCAGCCTGGCCAACGTGGTGAAACCCTGTCTCTACTAAAAATACAAAAATTAGCCGGGCATGGTGGTGCGTGCCTGTAGTCCCAGCCTCTCGGGAAGCTGAGGCAGGACAATCACTTGAACCCAGGAGGTGGAGGCTGCAGTGAGCCAAGATCGCGCCACTGCACTCCAGCGACAGAGCAAGACTCCGTCTCAAAAAATAAAATAAAATAAATAAGCCACGATACAGCATAAATGCTACTGAAAGTGAATGACAAGCCTAATGGAATTCTATAAAATTCCAAAATTCCACAGCTTTAGGAATTCTATAAAAATGCCTACTCTCCCTTCCTGAAGCAGTCAGCCTCGGGCAGTCAAGGGAGAATCCGAAGTCAGGATTATTCTTTATACAGAGGCAGCTATGGTGCAATGGAAAGAAAATTGAACTTTGCATAACTGACGTAACCTTTTTTTCTAAGCTTGTTTCCTATTTGCAAAAGTAAAAAAAAAGGCTGAGTGCGGTGGCTCACGCCTGTAATTCCAGTGCTTTGGGAGGCAGAGGCTGGTGGATCACGAGGTCAGGAGTTCAAGACCAGCCTGGTCAAGATAGTGAAACCCTGTCTCTACTAAAAATACAAAAAATTAGCTGGGCGTGGTGGCGGGCGCCTGTAATCCCAGCTACTCAGGAGGCTGAGGCAGGAGAACCGCTTGAACCCAGGAGGCAGAGCGTGAGGTGAGCTGAGATCGCGCCACGGCACTCCAGCCTGGGCGACAGGGCGAGACTCCGTCTTAAAAAAAAAAAAAAAGTAAAAACAAAACAAAACAAAACCCATCAACAATGAAATCAAAATAAGATGATATATGGCACAAGCCTGGCACAGAGAAATGGCTCAATGCATTACTTCTTATAATTCTAACCATTTCTGTCAGAAATTATCTATTTGTTTACCTGCTATATTTTCCCTTGCCACTGGAGAGAATGCCGCCACTTAGCGTGCCCCCTGAGAGGGCTGCAAAGCTGGCTGTTTCGCTGTAAGGACCTTGCATAACACTGAGTCCATCTGTAGGGCTTCCACTAGTGCTCAACACACTAGTCAGGCCTTCAATGCTGCTTTCCCCAATGCTGGGATTCTTGAGGGCTCTCCAGGCATCTGCCACTGGGGATAGAACCAGACATCTCAAATCAAGACAGCAGAGCATCCAAACAGTGGGCATTTTCCTGCAATGACTTTTCAGAGTACTAATGTATTCACTTAATGAACAGGTACTGTGTGCAGTCGCCACATATCGAGTGTTTTAACATATGTTCATATTTAATCCTCCAAATAACTAGGCATTAGTAGCCTCAATTTTAGATGAGAAAACTAAAATTTAAAACTAAATGACTTGTCCAAGGCCATGGCAGTTACACGAAACTATAACTCTGATTCTGAGTCCACTATTCTTTCCACTACACTGTTGCTTCCATGTAACCAAATGTGAAGATTTAAAAAATATGTTTGGGTCATATGCTGATTTTAATAGGATGCTTCCAGTAGAAAGCTAGAAGAACCTTTGGGGATCTCTGTGCCCTACGTTAGTTACTACGGTAAGTAGAAACCACGTTAAAGTAAAAGTCAGTCAAGCCTGTAATCCTAGCACTTTGGGAGGCCGAGATGGGCAGATCGCAAGGTCAGGAGATCGAGACCTGGCTAACACGGTGAAACCCCGTCTCTACTAAAAAACACAAAAACTAGCCGGGCGAGGTGACGGGCGCCTGTAGTCCCAGCTACTCGGGAGGCTGAGGCAGGAGAATGGCGTAAACCTGGGAGGCGGAGCTTGCAGTGAGCTGAGATCCGGCCACTGCCCTCCAGCCTGGGTGACAGTGCGAGATTCCGTCTCAAAAAAAAAAAAAAAAATTATAATAATAAAGTAGAAGTCAGAAGACTTGCTCTAGTCTCAGCTCTGTGAAGCTCTTAACAGATAGTGAGACAAAAGCTTAAAAAAATTCCCATTTAGGCCAGGTGTGGTGGCTCACGCCTGTAATCCAGCACTTTGGGAGGCCAATGTGGGCAGATCATGGGGTCAGGAGATTGAGACCATCCTGGCTTAACACGGTGAAACCCCAAACCCTGTCTCTACTAAAAAAAAAAATTGGCCAGGCATGGTGGCACATGCCTGTAGTCCCAGTGACTTGGGAGGCTAGGGCAGGAGAATCGCTTGAACCTGGGAGGCGGAGGTTGCAGTGAACAGAGATCGTGTCACCATACTCCAGCCTGGGTGACAGAGACTCTGTCTCAAAAAAAAAAAAAAAAAAAAAGAAATTTCCATTTAAATGGGGATAATAGTCCCATCCTCCCTAGTCAGAGAGCTGTTTGTTGTAAAAAGCAAGTGAGATAATTGTGTAAAATACTCTGAAAATTATCAAATACTGTGCAGATATAGAGACGTTATTATAATCACTACTACTACCAGCATACTTGGAGTTACTTGGAATCCTACTAGTTTGTACCTGCCACACAGAGGCAAGTACCAGGGGAATTAACCTAATAACTTTGGAACAAAGAAATGAAAAGCTAAAAATACTTTACCCCCTATAAAGCTCATTATCCAAAGTAATCCAATGACAATCTCCCTGTAAAATGTGCTGAATTTTACTGATTTTTATCTTGTATATCATAAATTCAAATGACAATAAACATCCTGCTTTTTACCTGTGATTGGACCATCATCTTCATCAAATTCAATTTTCACTCCTTTTCCGTTGGCTGTGCTAACTCCACAGCCACCTCCACGACAAAGAGAAATGGGCACAACCCCATAGACATATGCCAGCATAATGGGGACACCAATACCTGGGGGAAGAGAAGGAAACATGTCAGCTGGCTATTAGGTTGCAAGTGCCCTGAATTCTTCTTCCCAGTCCAGGCACGGACAAACTACTTTATAAAGAAAAAAAGACAGAAAATGGCTATCCCAAAAAGGTTGCCTGGTGTAACCGAATGATGATCAGGCTAGAAATCAGAAAGGTCTGGATTAGATTCTTGGCTCCATTTACTAGCTGTATAACCTTGGACCTATCTTCCAGGGTTGTCAATAATCAAACGAGAATGTTATGTACTGTGCCTTGCACAGTAAATATATGTTGCTTTCATTTTCCCCTCTTCTAATCACTGCTGAAATGCTAACCCAATCAAGAATCAAATATTAAATAAGTGACTACTGCTTGGAGTTTAGGATCTCCTCAGGATGTTAATTCCAAAATCTTACTGCTGTGTGAGGTAGAATGACTTACCCGTTAAGAGCACAGGATCTGAAGGCAGATTAACTTGATTCATGTCCCAGCTAAGTGACCTTGGGAAAATTACTGTACCTTTCTTTTTTTTTTTTTTTTTGAGACAGAGTCTCACTCTGTCACCCAGGCTGGAGTGCAGTGGCATGATCTCGGCTCACTGCAAGCTCTGCGTCCTGGGTTCACGCCATTCTCCTGCCTCAGCCTCCCAAGTAGCTGGGACTACAGGCGCCCACCACCACAGCCGGCTAATTTTTTGTATTTTTAGTAGAGACAGGGTTTCACCGTGTTAGCCAGGATGGTCTCGATCTCCTGACCTCGTGATATGCCCACCTCGGCCTCCCAAAGCACTGGGATTACAGGCGTGAGCCACTGCACCTGGCCAATTACTGCACCTTTCTATTAAAATTGTGCTTCCTTTTATGAGGATGGTGAGGATTAAATAAATTAATATATGCAAAATTCTCAGAACCACTCCTGGCACACGAAGAGCCACATTAAATGTTACACTACTATTATTCTAAAACAAACTCTTAAGCCTCCCAAAGTAATGTGAAGCATTAAACAAATCAAAATAAAAGTAATTTTGTTTTGTGGATTTCATGGCAAGTAGAGAAGGAAGATGAAAGGTGAAAACTAGGGCTTAAAATAAGTTTATTCAACCTTTTCTATGTGCCAAACGCAGTTCTAGGCATTAAGTTAAGAACAAAAGATCGCACAATCTGATAATTTAGTGTGGCTGAAAAACTTAAAAATAATCATAATCATGGTGCCTAATAGAATTAACTATCAAGATGGGTTGGCATAAAATGTAGGAGTCTTTGAGAAACATCTGGCCATCTGGCTAAACTGCTATGGTCAGAAAGCTGAGAGAGAAGAGGTGTGTGGTCCTGACCAGCTTACCAACACTAACTGCAGCAATAACTGGGGATGCAATGACAGACAAAGTCACTCCTCCAGTGATAGCCAAATTCCTCTTGTGTTTGGAGGTTTTCCTTCCCTCATACCTGCTATGAATCTAAGAACAAAAAAAGAAAATCCAGGTCAGCAGGTTAGGACATCAATCTTTTGCCAGAGAAAAAAAGGACAGGTGACTGTTCATTTGTAAGTTATCTATATATTAAAACATATCCTCTACCCCAAATAGGCATCTTTCTCAAATTTTAACCTAACTCAGACCTGGAAGATATAAAACAATACAGACAAAGTTAAACCAAAAAGAGACAAAATAACTCAGGGGAATGAAGTAAGCATTTTACCTTCTTCTTCTTTTTTTTTTTTTTTTTTTTTTTGGAGTCTGTCACACAGGCTGGAGTGCAGTGGTGTGATCTTGGCTCACTGCAACCTCTACCTTCCTGGGTTCAAGCAATCCTCCCACCTCAGCCTCCCTAGTAGCTGGGACTATAGGCACATGCCACCATACCTAGCTAATTTTTCTATTTTGGGGGGCAGAGATGGGTTTGCCATGTGCCCAGGCTGGTCTCAAACACCTGGGCTCAACCGATCTACCTGTCTTGGCCTCCCAAAGTGCTAGGCCATGTATTACAAACGTGAGCCACCATGCCCAGCCCAGCATTCTACCTTTAAGTCACTGAGACAAGTCAGGCTCAGGATGTTAATCAGAACTTTCAGATCTCATGGGGGTTTATGAAAATCAATTTAAGAAAGGAAGGTTATTTTTATCTAAGAACCAGCTGGTTTTCAGGCAGCTCTGAAACACAGCTCCTTCCCATTTCCCTCAAACCTTTACCAATGAACCTAAAGTTGAAACAAGCACAGAAACCAGCATGTCTTTCTTACCTTCCTTCCAACATAAACAGGAATGCCAATGACCATGGCAGGAATGGCAATGCCAGCAATGAGAGAAATCCCCACTGGAGCACCAATCAACGTGCCCAGCTGCCAAAGAATTTTCTTCTTACGGCTCCATGGCTTCTTGCCCCAGAACGTGCAGCCAGAGGGGCTGCAAGGGAAACAGACTGAAGTTAATGTCAACATTACAAATGCAGCTATTGTTATCAGAGGGCCTGATAACAGCAACAGCCTTCTTTTCAATAAGAGTGATTAACAGAAAAGTTTACGGGAAATGAATATATTACACAAGGGAGAGCAAAGGACAAGGCCAGACTATTAGAGCTCTGGGCTCTTTAACTTTTTGGTTGTTGTTGTAAAGATGGGCTTCCAGACTTGAAACTCCTTTTCCATTCTTCTCTGCTGAATTCTGTCTTCCCTAACCCACCAAAACTGATCTAGCTTCCGTGACTGACAATACTTGGGATGCTGCATAGCCTTATGAACTTGACACCCCATCCAGACACACTGCACCCTTCAGCTAATGAACACTCTGATTTGTGTAGTTTTCTTGGCATATGTCCTACCACACCTAATAGACACTGCAAACCATGTTCCTGGGAGAGGATATAAAAAGACCTCATCATAACCTTTGTATCAGTTTGGTATTCTGAGGTTTGGCTACTTTTACATTCAGCCCTTCTGTGCCCAATCATTTTTGCCCATTCTCTTTGTGCTATCTTCTCTATTAGAAGGGATAAGAAATTTTGAAAATAGGGATCATGTCTTATTCACCCGTATGTCCCCAATGACTAGTACACAGTAAGTACTCAAATGTTTGAAAAACTGGAAATGAAGGTGTTGTGTTTCATTTACATGATGAATGTTTGTAAATATTAACACTTTTTTTCTGTAAATATTAGCAAACATTTTGCTTGTAAATATTAACTCCTCCAAAACAATATTTTAATATTCATTCAATGAGGCTGGGCACGATGGCTCACACTTGTAATCCCAGCACTTTGGGAGGCCGAGGCGGGCGGACCACCTGAGGCTCGAGTTCGAGACCAGACTGGCTAACATGGTAAAACCCCGCCTCCACGAAAAATACACAAATTAGCTAGGTGTGGTGGCGGGCGCCTGTAATCCCAGCTACTTGGGAGGCTGAGGCAGAAGAATCACTTGAACCCGGGAGACGGAGGTTGCAGTGAATCAAGATCTAGCCACTGCACTCCAGCCTGGGTGACAGAGTGAAACTCTGTCTGTTAAAAAAAAAAAAAAAAAAAAAAAAAAAGAAAATTCACTCAATGAATTCCTTGGGAACTCACTAAATGCAAAAAACTGTAAAAAGGTCACAACTCTAGCCTCAAGATATTTACAGTTTAGTAAGATAAGACATGTACATGAAGTATAAAGTACTGATGATATTTATGACAAAACATAAAACAAAGTCAAAGAATGAGGCAGAAAAAGGTGAGGCATCATGGATGAAATGGCATTTAAGTGGCTCTTAAAAGACAAGAACTGAACAAGTTGAGATAAAAGGAGGATACTGGCAGGTAGGCAGAAAGCATTCTAGGCAAAGGAAAGAACATGAACAAGTATGGAAGCAAGACAGCAAAAGGGGAAAAGCAAATCCAGACTACCTGGAATATGGCACGTATAAAAGCAAAGAAAGATAGAAAGAACTAGAATAGTAGCTGGTGAAAACATAAAAGGAGCATATCAGAAGAACTTTTCATAGCTTCCTTAATCTGTAATGAGAGAAGGGCTGTGTCTTTTTGACATCCTTTTCCCTAAATCAGTAAAGAATAAGACTACGAAAGGAATGGATGCATTTCCCATCTTACCTGAGGTAATGCAAGTCTGAGATCTCTTTCATACAAAGCCAGCAGAATTCACAGCCACACACTGCACAGGTCATGTGATTACAGCTTCCATCATTCATCTTGATAATATAAGCACTGCATCGTGGGCATGGCTTGATGTCATCTGCTATGAGTGGGGGAGGAAGAATGGGTAGAAAAACACCCCTAGTTAAATCCAGTTTGATTTAATTATTCCTAGGAGTATACATAAGAAATGAGGCAGCAGTCAAGCACTCTTCACTGAACACTCCAAAGTGTACAGCCCACTTTACTGGAAGGTTGGCTATGTCTAGACCTCAGGAATTTTCATAAAACAAATCCTATCTCTCACTGAGCTGCCTATCCCAACAACTGGCATCTTACACAGCACTTGAACCACATTCTAGCAAGGAGACTTCCTTAGGGAGAAAGATGTTTCCAAGAAAAATGAAATTTCTACCAGTCGATAGGCTGGCAGATTTAAAAGAAGAATCCTACAGAAAGAATAGCCTGCAGCCTGGAATTAGCTTCACATTTTTAAAAACTTTAGTTCAGGAAATTTATTTTTCAGGTTCAACATGTATCACTGTGATTTGCTGTTAACATAGCTCACAATCCCTTCCCCTGATACTTTCAAATTCAAAACCTAAAAACAACTGGGTATGCTATGTAGCATATACACTGGTAATTTTCAGAGCAAGTTATGAACTATCCTAATAAAATGACAATTTAGGAAATTATGCTGTGCCAGGAAAAAGTGAATGGCAAAATCTTTCCTACTAGCCTCTCCCAAATGACATCAGTAAAATAAAAGTACAAAGCAATAAATCCACTGACATTTTAAAATAGGTTTACTCTGGTCAATGTTGGAGCTGAATGTGTGACATTCCTTCTTTTAAGGTTAATCATTAATCTATACTAATATTATTTCCTTTTCTTCAATCTGTACTCTACTTCCAAAGGCAGTGAGGCACTTAAGCCAGCTTGAAGGCAAACAGTACAGGTTTAATACTAATTAAATGTCTTTCTGTTCACAATGAAAGTTTTGAAAAAGCCCCTAGCAAAACAAAACAAACTAATTGCTCTCCAATCTGAGACATATTACTAAGAAAGTAGGAACTACATAATTCAATTTTGTTGCATTTTAATTTTATATGGGTTGGATAACCCATAATGGTCAGAGAGGGAAGTGCTATCTCTTTTATAATATTGAAAATATTACCAAATGATATTTTCTGCTCTCTGATCCTTTGGAGCACTTGGGTTATACGACAAGATAATCTCTTTCAGCTTTGGGCTCACATCATGAAATACCAAATAAAGAGACAATGAGATAATGCCAACTTATACCTGGTCCAGATTCTTGCCCATAACTTAGACCTGAAGTGTGTTTGGTCCGAACTCGTAAACTCTGGGCCCTCTGTTGACGGGCCATATCGCATGTCTGATTTGGATGCCATATCTGCTTGCAGTGGTAGCAGAACTCAGTCTGGCAACCTTCCCTCTCACAAGTTAGCTTCGGGCAGCTGGCACAGCCATAGGCAATAACAGCATAACTAGGTAAGGAAACAGTAAGAGATACCAGTAAGGTAAGAATGATCTAACCAAAAGAGACATTATTCATCAGAGTTAACAATGTTTGGCACTACCCCACTATCACATATGATACAGAGAAAAGAATACACATATACACACAAGCACATTTGACCAACTGTAAAATATATCCCATGTGAGAAAGTAAATTTCTTTCTTTCTTTTCTTTTTTTTTTTTTTTGAGACAGAGTCTTGCTCTGTCACCCAGGCTGGAGTGCAGTGGTGTAATCTTGGCTTACTGCAACCTCCACCTCCCAGGTTCAAGCAATTCTCCTGCCTCAGACTTCCAAGTAGCTGGGATTACAGGTGCAAGCCACCACACCCGGCTAATTTTTTTTTGTATTTTTAGTAGAGATGGAGTTTCGCCATGTTGGCCAGGCTGGTCTCAAACTCCTGACTTCAGGTGATCCACCTGCCTCGACCTCCCAAAGTGCTGGGATTACAGGAGTGAGCCAACATGCCCAGCTGTAAATTTCTTGAGATTCCAAAAACACAAATCATTTATTTCCTTTAAAAAGTGGAGGTGGAGTATCATATTCATCCTGGATTTCTAGCATTCATTCAATCATAGCTGAAGCTGCTTTAAGGAGTAATTTGTCGGCCGGGCGCGGTGGCTCAAGCCTGTAATCCCAGCACTTTGGGAGGCCGAGACGGGCGGATCATGAGGTCAGGAGATCAAGACCATCCTGGCTAACCCGGTGAAACCCCGTCTCTACTAAAAAATACAAAAATCTAGCCGGGCGAGGTGGCGGGCGCCTGTAGTCCCAGCTACTCGGGAGGCTGAGGCAGGAGAATGGCGTGAACCCGGGAGGCGGAGCTTGCAGTGAGCTGAGATCCGGCCACTGCACTCCAGCCTGGGCGACAGAGCGAGACTCCGCCTCAAAAAAAAAAAAAAAAAAAAGGAGTAATTTGTCATAGTAAGTTTCATAAATAACAGGGTACAAAACTATTTCCTTTTGATAGTTTGCTATATTTAGAGAGATTAGTATTCGTTTGTACGAAGGAACAGAACATTAGTGAAATAAAGAGCTATGGCAAAAACGAAAGTTTATTTTTTAATTCTTTTTTTTTTTTTTTTTTTTTTGAGATGGGGTCTCGCTCTGTCACCCAGGCTGGAATGCAGTGGTACAATTTTGGCTCACTGCAACCTCTGCATCCCAGGCTCAAGCAATTCTCTTGCCTCAGCCTCCACAGTAGCTGGGACTATAGGTGTGCACCACCACACTTGGCTCATTTTTGTAATTTCCTTAGAGATGGGGTTTCACCCTGTGCCCAGGCTGGTCACAAACTTCTGGGCTCAAGCAATCAGCCTGCCTCGGCCTCCCAAAGTGCTGGAATTACAGGCATGAGTCACCATGCTACCTTTTCATTCTTTTCTTTTTTCTTTTTTTTTTCTTGAGTCAGAGTCTCACTCTGTTGCCAGGCTGGAGTGCAGTGGTGCCACTCGGCTCACTACAACCTCCGCCTCCCGGGTTCAAGAGATTCTCCTGCCTCAGTTTCCTGAGTGGCTGGGACTACAGGCGCACACCACTACGTGCAGCTAATTTTTGTATTTTTAGTAGAGACAGGGTTTCACCATGTTGGCCAGGATGGTCTCGATCTCTTTTATTTATTTATTTATTTTGAGACAGAAGTCTTGCTCTTTCACCCAAGTCGGATTGCAGTGGCTTTATCTCGGCTCACTGCAAGCTCCGCCTCCTGGGTTCACGCCATTCTCCTGACTCAGCCTCCTGAGTAGCTGGGACTACAGGCGCCCGCCACCACACCTGGCTAATTTTTTATATTTTTAGTAGAGACGGGGTTTCACCATGTTAGCCAGGATGGTCTTGATCTCCTGACCTCGTGATCTGCCTGCCTCGGCCTCCCAAAGTGCTGGGATTACAGGCGTGAGCCACCATGCCCAGCCTTTTTCATTCTTAAGTTCCACAGTGAAGCCAGTCTGACCATAGTCACAGAGACAATAACCCTAAATGGATTTATGATCAGCATCCCTCTTGAAAGTTCATTTTATCTTTCCATACTTTTTCAATTCAAATCAATACCTCGAATGTCCTGATAGGCTCCAGAATCCAAGAATACCATGCCTCTATCTTATAAATTAATACAGCATTAATGCCATACCTCCCTTTCTCTCTTCTGACACATATTCTTTTTTTTTTTTTTTTTTTTGAGACGGAGTCTCGCTATGTCGCCCAGGATGGAGCGCAGTGGCGTGATCTCGGCTCCCTGCAATCTCCTCCTCCCAAGTTCAAGTGATTCTCATGCCTCAGCCTCCCGAGTAGCTGGAATTATAGGCGCCCATCACCACGCCTGGCTAGTTTTTTTTTTAAGTAGAGATGGGGCTTCACCATGTTGGCAAGGTTGGTCTTGAATTCCTGACCTCTGGTGATCTGCCTGTCTTAGACTCTCAAAGTGTTGGGATTACAGGCGTAAGCCACTGCACTCAGCTGTGACACATATTCTTCATGTAAAGATTCAGAATTTATCAGCACTAACATCGACCATTTCTTGTAGTTCATGTTGATTTACCAAGAATTAGTCTCACACAAACAATCCAATATATTTATATAACTATTAGCCTTTCTGATTAATTCCAAATATATCAATTAAATGCTCAGATTACTCTAATAAAAAAATATAATACTTGTATAAAATAAAATTTTAGCCAGGTGAGGTGGTTCATGCCTGTAATCTCAGCACTTTGGGAGGCTGAGGCAGGAAGATCACTTGAGGCCAGGATTTTGAGACCAGCCTGGGCAACACAGCAACAAGACCTTTTCTCTAAAAAAAAAAATCAGCCAGGCATGGTGACACATACCTGCAGTCACAGCTACTTAGGAGTCTGAGGTGGGAGGATTGCTTGAGGCTGGGAGGTTGAGGCTCCAGTGAGCCACATATGCACCACTGCACTCCAGCCTGGGTGACAGAGTGAGATTCTGTCTGAAAAAAATAATAAATAAATAAACTGAAAGTTATGAAAGTTCATTGCATAATTTTTTTTTTTTTTAGGAGACAAGATCTCACTCTGTTGCCCAGCTTCTAGACAGTGGTGTGATGATAGCTCACTGCAACCTGAAACTCCTGGGCTCAAGTGATCCTATCTCAGTTCCCCAAGTAGCAGTGCATACCACCATGCCCAGCTAACTTTTTCATTTTTTTTTTTCTTTTGTAGAGACAGGGTTGGTCTTGCTATGTTGCCCAGGCTGGTCTGGAACTCCTGTCTTCAAGAAACCCTCCCACCTTAGTCTCCCAAAGCATTGGGATTATAGACGTGAGCCACCAAGCTTGGTCTATCACACACATTTTTAAAAAGATCAGTAACTGCAGGTTTCCGTGTTGCCATCTGCACTCTGTCCTCCATTCCACACTCTCCTGCAATATTCGAAGACCTCAAATAGCTTGTGCAAAAAGCTAATAACATTTTCTGGGATTTATTCTTCAGTTTGCTTGTTTATTTGAATGTACATGAGATGTTAATTATAGCAACTCAAGTTCTCACGTTTATCATAGATTCTGCAAATTGATTTGAGAATGACACTGAAAATATAAATGACAATGTATCCTCTATGTTATATAATACAGGCTGTATTAAAACTCTTCTCAGAAAGAACAAAGTGAGAATAGGTCAACCTATGAATGCAAATGATTCATATCCTGTAGGAGTTCTGAGCAAATTTACTCCACCTAGCTGCAAAATAACTACTAAAGATAAACAACTGTCTCCTCAAGACAGTGACTAGCTTGTTATTTTGCATTAAATGGGAAAGTTACTGGATGACCTCAGAAAAGCATTAAGTCAACTTCTAAAGATACAAATTAAGTGGACAGCCAGTAGGGAGTCTTGAATACTTCATCATCCATTCCTACCTTATATGGCAGAAGTAAATGTTTATTAACATTCCTCCAGTCCCCACCTTTTTTTTTTTTTTGAGATGGAGTTTCACTCTTGTTACCCAGGCTGGAGTGCAATGGCTCAATTTTGGCTTACGGCAACCTCTGTCTCCGGGGTTCAAGAGATTCTCCTGCCTCAGCCTCCCAAGTAGCTGGGCTTACAGGCGCCCACCACCATGCCCAGCTAATTTTTTTGTATTTTTAGTAGAGATGGGGTTTAACCATGTTGGCCAGGCTGGTCTCGAACTCCTGGCCTTCAAGTGATCCACTTGCCTCAGCCTCCCAAAGTGCTGGGATTACAAGCGTGAGCCACCGCGCCTGGTCCACTTTTTTTTTTTTCTTAAAAAGAGTGTTGGATAGGATTGACAATGTCAATTTTGAGTGTTTAATTTGGTGCCAAGGAAGTAAAATAACCCCAAATACTCATGAATCCACAGCAATCTATTACTACGACACAGAATTATTCAGGGCATGAGATTTGGCATTCCTGTTTTTGGGTACCTGGTCTGAGCTCTTGCCTGTGACTCATACTGCATGACATGGAGCTATTAAAATCTCTAAACCGGCCTGGCACAGTCGCTCATGCCTGTAATCCCAGCACTTTGGGAGGCCGAGGCAGGTGGATCACCTGAGGTCAGGAGTTCAAGACCAGCCTGGCCAACATGGCGAAACCCCGTCTCAACTAAAAATACAAAAATTAGCCAGGCGTGGTGGTGCAAGCCTGTAATCCAGCTACTCGGGAGGCTGAGGCAGAAGAATTGCTTGAATCCAGGAGGTGGAGGTTGCAGTGAGCCAAAATCGCACCATTTTACTCCGGCCTGGGCAACAAGAGAAAAATTCCATCTCAAAAAAAAAAAAAAAATCTCCAAACCTTAACTTCTGTTCCACCAAATGGAGGTATAGGTGCTTGTCACATTCAAACGTAGCTAACAAGTTCTAAAACTGCATGAGAGACCTTGTCCTGAAAGATGTATGGTGTAAAAACATCGCACACTATGTCCTACCTCCTGGCCTTTACATACTCTATTCCTTCTACCTAGAAATGCCTTGTCCTTACTTCTTGCTCTGACAA